TGGAAGAGATAATTAGTTCATGAATTGATTTGGAAGCTGAAACTTTGAATCCAAAATCAGCAGCCTGGCTTTCAGCAGGTGGGCTGACAACAGGTGGGCTGGCAGCAGTAGCAGCAGCAGGCTGGGCGGCAGCAAGATTGCCCACAGTAGGATGGGCGGCAGCAGGGGGCCTGGGCATGGTGCAGCTGGCAGCAGGTTGGGGGCGTGCAGCTCACCACACAGCAGGGGGGCAGGCAGGTGTCCTCCACGCGGCAGTCAGGGCGGCACCACCTGACTCGGCAGCTCACAGCTCCGCAGCCACCCTCCTGGCCACCACCAGTGCCACAGCTGGTCCCACCGCAGCTGGGCTGGCAGCAGCTGGTCTGGCAACAGCTGGGCTGGCAACAACTGGGCTGGCAACAGCTGGAGCCACAGTTCCCACTGGTGGAGCAGGTGGGAAATCCGCAGAAGCTAGTGGAGCAGCAGGCCATGGTCAGGAGCTGGGTTGAGAGTTGGGTTGTTAAGAGAAGTTTTTGAGTTTTGGTGGTGACTTCCACATTGGGCCTTTTATAAGCCTTGACTAGCTAGGATTTACATAATTCTCAAAATCTCTTCCTTGTTTGTGTATAAATAATCTGTCTCTGAATAATAATTGCCCTATTCCTGAGTTATTTGTTCAACCTCTGAAAGCCTTTGTAAGTTCATTTTATTTGGTCTTCAATTAAGATTCTTTACCACAGTTAAGTAGTCATTGGCGTTCATTTGGTACATAACCCATAATCCCCCATATTTGTTAAAATTTGGTCATCGCCCTACAAATAATTGATGCCTCACCTTTAAGGAGTGTCAGTATTACTCAGTGTTGACCCTGATAATCGGGCCCTTGGGTCTCACATGACAGTTTAATTCCCAGCAACATGGCTCCAATGTCAACCACTGCTCCTTTATCTTTTTCATCTTCAATTTGACTATGAAGCAAAGTGATCCAGCTGGCCGGAAAGGGATGCTTTTTTGGGGGACTGAGAAATGTGGATGGGTTGTTACTGATCACAATTTCTGGAGCACTTAGGTGCTTAAATGGTTCTGACTACTTTGCATGTATCGGTTCATTTAATTTTTACTGCAGTCCTATGAGCCATGCCTAGAGCTACTTCCATGAAACCAAGCCTCAAACAGATTTACATCTCTTGCCCAGGTTCACAGCAGCAAGTGGTGAATCTGAAATTTGAACCCACATCATCTGACTCCAGCGTAAACTCTTTCAACCACTACAGTCAGTACTCTGTTTTCCATGTGAACAATTGTTCTAGAGAAAATCAAAGGGTAAAAGAAAGATGTAAAAATTTGTCCACTTTCAAACTTTTTTAGAGTCAAGGGAAGAAAGGCAGAGCTTTGGGTGAGTAATAACACTATTAGGACTTCTCTGGAAATTTTTTTTTAACTCCATAATCACACCTCAAGAAAATCTCAGGTGCTAAAAAGGTTAATCCATTTGACTTGTGACTTAATCTAAACTTTGATATTAGGATGTCTTCTAGATTTAAATGTCCTTAACTGCATAAAAATCATACCCAGTGTATTAACACTGGAGCATGTGACACATTATGGTGTGTTAGATCTGCTGTATGCAGTTTACTGTACATATTAGAAACTAGTCCAACTCGCTGAAAGTTAATATAATTTGAATGAAACAACTGATGAGGATGAAGATGAAGCTTTTGTGTAGGTACAATGAAAGGTGACCTGGCCTTCGTTGAGTATGGATTCTATTATAGGGAAATGGAAGTTAAAATACAGAGTTTGAACCAGAATACCAGGTATTAGTTCTGCTTCTCCAGAAATGACAGCTTTGAGTTAAGATCATAACTCTTCCCAAATCAGAATTAAGACATTTTCAAATCCCATGTCAAATGTGAGTTAAAAGGTATGTGAATTTTTTGCTTCCTCTCCTTAAGCAAATCTGATATCACAGATTCTTTGATTAGCTAATTTATTTTTACTGTGGATGTTTGGAATATGTAGATTTATCACCGTTACAATCTCAGGAGCTATTTAATTCATATTTAATTCAGTAGAATATTTGATTTTGATAAATGGTAAATAATAAAAACATTTATCTCCCCTTGCAAAAAAGTTCATATGTTTGAGGAGTTGAAATACCTCCTGATAAGGGCCCTGGAGATAGTAGTGTTGTCTGTTAGTTCTCCATTTCTGGCTTTTCTCATGTTGCACTGTTTACAGCATCTCCCTTGGTGCAAAACTTAACTCAGTTTTCATGTTTCTGGTCTTTAGTTGCTCTCAGAGAATTATTAGGTGTGTTAGCCAGAGTTCTCCAGAGAAACAGAACCAGTAAGATATATATAAATAGGTAGAAAGAGATTTATTGTGAGGGATTGGCTCACACAAATATGGAGCCTAAGAAGTCCCACCAGGAGCACTGAAGTCTGAGGGCAGGAGAAGATGAATGTCCCAGCTTGAGCCATAGAACAGTTCACCTTTTCTGCCTTTTTGTTCTATCTGGGGCTCAATGGATTCGATGATGCCCACTCACATTGGTGAAGGCAATGTTTTTTACTCATTCTACAGATTCACATGCTAATTCCTTCACCTTCACAGACACACCCAGGAATAATGTTTTAGCAGCTATTTAGGGATCCCTTAAACAAGTCAAGTTGATACAAGATTAAACCATCACATAAGATATGACATTTAAAATATGAGAATTCTATTTTTCTGCCACAGATTAATCTGAATATTCCCTTATCTTCCCTAAATAAGTCAAGAAAATAAAATTATTTCCTCCTACCACTTAAATCCAATTCTTCTTGATTGGTTCTAATACAAATAGAGTAAGAAGTTTTAATCATTTGTGATGGTAGATTTTCTGTCCTGTTTAAATGCTGGATATCCCCATCTGTGGTCTTCTTTGAGAAAAGAATGCCAGTAACTTTACATTTAAAACTATTTTATTACTATGTGTATTCTCTTTGGTTTTCATTACTTCATTTAAGCGACGGGGCCCAGACCAAATAGTACCATAAGAAGAAAGGATGTGTTTGTCTCTTATTATTGCATGTTTGCCTTCTGTTTATACATACTAATATTTGAGTTATTTTTCTTTAAGAGATCAAGGTTCTGGGTTTTTTACTGTAAATGTTGGGGTGTCTCTCAATTCCTTAAAAATCCATTTTAAATAGTTCTCTAATTCAGTTGCCTCTGCCTTACTTAGGTTCCTGAGTGATAAGACGTGGTTGATATACCAACCAGTTGAATATCCCCAACTTTTTATTCTAAATCAAGTAATAAGATCTTCTTTCTGAATGTCAACCTGGCTCTTTTGGTGCCTCCAAGCTGAAGCCTTCTAAGTCAAAGGTGCATCCAACCTAAGTCTTCCTAATCTGTTGGAAGATAAGAGAGTGGTATATGAGGGACATAGAGTGTTGAACATGTTTTAGACTCATTGTGTGTAAGAATAGGCATAGTGAATGTCAGTATCATGCTTGTTTAAATCCATTCCTGTAATGAATATTTATTTTCTACTTAACAATACATGAAACAACTATATAGATGTTATAGAAACATTAGTTGAAATTCCTTTTCATCATTTTCCAAAGTATATTTTGAGGAATACTAGTGTTACAGGATGTTAGTCAATAATAAATAAATGGAAGATTCTCTGACTAAATCAGTGTGGGAGTAATAGTTATAGAACTTTCTTTAATATTCTAATGTGCTTTTTTAAATTTATTTTTTATTTTTTTAAATTTTATTATGTTATGTTAGTCACCATACAATACATCATTAATTTTTGATGTGGTGATACCACGTTCCATTGTTTTCGTATAATACCCAGTGCTCCATGCGGTACATGCCCTCCTTAATACCCATCACCCGGCTAAGCAATCCTTCTAATGTGCTTTATAAACCTTCAAGATGGTGAAAACACATGCAACATTATTTGACCATTAAATACTTTTTCCCTGTTGGGCATCTAAGACTCTAATTGTTAGTGCATCACTTGTTTAGGAAATAATCCATCCTATGCCTGGGAGGGATGTTGTAAGCAATGAACGTCAGTTCTCTTATTTTCCAAGCTTTCTAAACTGGTGCCCAGGGAGGCAAAGGGCCTTGCTCAAGAATCCATGGATTCTTAGTTACAAAGTGGGAACAAGAACTCGGGATGCCTTTACATCTTATGCTAGTACTTTGAAATCTTGTGTTTACTGTCTTTCCAACTATGTATTACCCTTTTATACCCTCGATAATTGAAAGAATTGTACACAGAATCCTATATGAATGAAGTGAATGGATTTGGTAACACCTCAAGAAGCTAAATGACAGGGGGATGGGAGGGATGGGGTGGCTGGGTGATAGACATTGGGGAGGGTATGTGCTACGGTGAGCGCTGTGAATTGTGCAAGACTGTTGAATCACAGATCTGTACTTCTGAAACAAATAATGCAATATATGTTAAGGGAAAAGAAAGAAGAAGAAGATAGCAGGAGGGGAAGAATGAAGGGGAGTAAGTCGGAGGGGGAGACAAACCATGAGAGACGATGGACTCTGAAAAACAAACTGAGGGTTCTAGAGGGGAGGGGGGTGGGGGGATGGGTTAGCCTGGTGATGAGTATTAAAGAGGGCACATTCTGCATGGAGCACTGGGTGTTATGCGCAAACAATGAATCATGGAACACTACATCAAAAAAAAACTAAATGACATAAAAATTCCTTTTTTGTACAATCGATCTTCTGGAACACCTAGCCCATCAGTTTGCACGTGTGAGGACCTTGGGAAATAATTTCTAAATACTGATAGATTCTTCTAATCATAGATTTTGGCTGCAGAATATTGGACCATTTAATGGTAAAACAAAGGGAAACCATCTTTTAAAGACCTTTATAAAAGGACAAAAATAAAGAAAAACCATACTGCCATATCACAGTTATTGAGATTTTGAAAAATCCAAGTACCCCGATAGCAATAACAAATTCCAAATAAAAGCTCCAACAATGACTTCATCACTGAAGAATAAAAATTTTATTAAATCCCAAATCCAATGAGCTGTTGAACTATTTCAGATGATATTTATAGTACAGTTTTACATATTCCTCTTAACCTTGTAGGACTTCTATTCATATCCAGGTTTATGAAATATTTTTGGTCTTCAATTATAAATTCACATTTTAGGAAAATTATGTAGCCATGTGACAAGAGTTTGCAAGCTGGAGTATGGGTTCAGAAGTTTGTTGTGACTCTACAATGGCTCGTGCCAGTTTCTCAGGATTCCTTTAGAAGGCTTTCAGCAGGTGGGCTGACAACAGGTGGGCTGGCAGCAGTAGCAGCAGCAGGCTGGGCGGCAGCAAGATTGTCCACAGTAGGATGGGCGGCAGCAGGGGGCCTGGGCATGGTGCAGCTGGCAGCAGGTTGGGGGCGTACAGCTCACCACACAGCAGGGGGGCAGGCAGGTGTCCTCCACACGGCAGTCAGGGCGGCACCACCTGACTCGGCAGCTCACAGCTCCGCAGCCACCCTCCTGGCCACCACCAGTGCCACAGCTGGTCCCACCGCAGCTGGGCTGGCAGCAGGTTGGCTGGCAGCAGCTGGTCTGGCAGCTGGGCTGGCAGCAGCTAGGCTGGCAGCAGGTTGGCTGGCAGCAGCTGGTCTGGCAACAGCTGGGCTGGCAGCAGCTGGAGCCACAGTTCCCACTGGTGGAGCAGGTGGGAAATCCACAGAAGCTAGTGGAGCAGCAGGCCATGGTCAGGAGCTGGGTTGAGAGTTGGGTTGCTTGGTGGACTTTCTGAGTTAGAGCTGCTTGTTCCACTTGGGCCTTTTATAGGTCTTGGCTGGTTCCTGTGTTTGTGATGGGCAGCATTTTTATCTTGTTACTCTTTAAACAAGCTTTCCCAGAGTCCTTTGATTGTTCAAATATCGAATTATTTTAAATGCATCCCCAGATTGGTTTTTCCTTATTGCTCAGCTAATACTCACTGAATGTTTTTGTCCTTGGTAGAAATAGCTGTTGTTTCATTTCCAAATAATGCTGTAATTTCTCCTCAAGTCTCAGCTTCCATTCTGCATTTACGATCACATCACCTGACAAAGTGACTCTCACTCATAAGATGATGTGATTTTAGGGTCATATTCACCAAACTCAAGTCTCCAGAAAAAAATTACTAACAATTGACTGTATTTTATGTAAGACTGTGTTTATATTCTTTTGATTACAATCAGCCAGATAGAAACTCTGATAAACTTCACATTCATAGAAATTCATAGATATTTCCAGAAATTGAATCTCTCCAATTTCCATGATCTCTCCTGAACTTCACACATTGACTTGAGAAAATATCACTCAGGAAGACCTGTTGAACATAAACTGTTCCATCCCAATTTACTGTGGATATTTTATTAGCATGAATTTAAAAGAAAGACTAAAATTTGTAGTCAGTAATTAGGAAAATATCACACAAAATTTTAAGTGTAATTTATATTTTTCTATGAAAGATAAAAATCACTGCTATGTGAGTTATCTAGACAGTATTTCTTAAAGGTGAGATTTATTTTCAGTTTATCATTTTATGTAACTACACCATGTGTCCTGTGAAATGATACTAGACCAAAGAGCATGACAATTGAATTTATGAAGGGGAATCAATAAAAGAAAAAGCAGGAGTTAGGAGATACTTTTTCCTGGATTACAATGTATATAAGGCAGTGTAGGAAATGAATGATCAAATATCATTCAATAGGTATAAGAGCAAAGAGATTAAATATACCTTATACTTAAGGTGTAAGCGTAAAGGGATTGATGTTGTATGGACCACTTTTGATTTCCCCTCATTATCAGTCGATGTTAGAATACTGTTGAATCTAGGAATGGCTATAATTTGGAGAGGTAAGTGATTTGCTCCATTTACAGAGTACACAGCCAGAAAGCTGTATATAAATTTCAGTGAAATAAATTTGAAACAATTTTGGTGGTTGTCAAAAGAAAGAATGTGTTGTCAAAAGAAGAATGTGAATCTCAGGAACAAACTGAGGGTTGCTGGAGTGGTCGGGGGTGGGAGGGATGGGATGGCTGGGTGATAGACATTGGGGAGGGTATGTGCTATGGTGAGCGCTGTGAATTGTGCAAGACTGTTGAATGACAGATCTGTACTTCTGAAACAAATAATGCAACATATGTTAAGAAAAAAGAAAAAGAAGAAGATAGCAGGAGGGGAAGAATGAAGGGGAGTAAGTCAGAGGGGGAGACGAACCAGGAGAGATGATGGACTCTGAAAAACAAACTGAGGGTTCTAGAGGGGAGGGGGGTGGGGGGATGGGTTAGCCTGGTGATGGGTATTAAAGAGGGCACATTCTGCATGGAGCACTGGGTGTTATGAACAAACAATGAATCATGGAACACTACACCAAAACAAATGATGTAATATATGGTGATTAACATAACAATAAAAAATTAAAAAAAAAAGAAGAATGTGTAGGGTTACATGGGGGGAAAAAAAGTGGTAACCAAAAGAGCATATTATTGCTACTTGTGGTAGGTTTATTCTTTCCTTCCAATCTTGAATAGAAGCACATAGTTAGCTTTTTATGAAGTATTGGTTTGTGCAGCGATAGAATTACATTAGAATGTGATTCATGCTACTGTCAAGAAAGATGTTCATGTCATATGATAACCATGACTATAGGTATGAAGTTGAAAAGTGGTTGAAGGAATCATCAAATATCAGAGATCAAAAAATTAATAAATCACCTTGTCCAAACATTTGATTGTAGTTATAGAAACTGACATCATTAAAAAAAAAGAAACTGACATCATTGTTTTTATAAGTAGTAAATGTTTACTAAATCATCATATATTATGCACAGAGCACTAAAGGTTTGGGCAGAAAGCAAGATTCAATCTGTCTGTCTCATATCTTGCTCTAGTGTGCAAATCATTGTAGTACTGATAGGAGGGATGAATCAAGGAAAAGAGGCAAATATACTTCCATCCATCCTCACAGTTTTAAGCTGGAACAGTGATGTTGTAGTACAGACTGCTTTAAATTTCCTCTTGGCATCAGTTGATGTTAGAATACTACTGAGTCCAGGACTGGCTGCACTTTGGAGAGGTTAGTGACTTGCTTTATTCACACAGCACACAGCCAGAAAAGCAGGGTATAAAACTTCTGTCTCTCCCTCCTACATCAATTCATTTTATTTTATCCATGCTGTTTTCCAGGATCAATTAATTATTAAAATGCTTTGCTTCCTATTAAAAAATGCTTTATAATAGCTCAAGAATAGAAATATTAGTGAACAGAAATGCTATGGAGTAGTAACTTTAAACACACAGTAAATAAGCATGAATATGTTTAGATTCTTTCAAGTGTCTTCTGACCAGAAGAGTATTCTCTAGATCTGCAATAACACATTTAATTCTTAATTGTTTCTTTTTTTTTAATTTTTTTATTGTTATGTTAATCACCATATATTACATCATTAGTTTTTGGTGCAGTGTTCCATGATTCATTGTTTGTTCATAACACCCAGTGCTCCATGCAGAACGTGCCCTCCTCAATACCCATCACCAGGATAACGCATCCCCCTCCCCCCTCCCCTCTAGAACCCTCAGTTTGTTTTTCAGAGTCCATCATCTCTCATGGTTTGTCTCCCCCTCTGACATACTCCCCTTTTCTTCCTCTCCTGTTATCTTCTTCTTTTTCTTTTTTCTTAAAATATGTTGCGTTATTTGTTTCAGAAGTACAGATCTGTGATTCAACAGTCTTGCACAATTCACAGCGCTCACCATAGCACATACCCTCCCCAATGTCTATCACCCAGCCACCCCATCCCTCCCACCCCCTACCACTCCAGTAACACTCAGTTTGTTTCCTGAGATTAAGAATTCCTCATATCAGTGAGGTCATGTGATACATGTCTTTCTCTGATTGACTTATTTCACTCAGCATAACACCCTCCAGTTCCATCCACATCGTTGCAAATGGCAAGATCTCATTCCTTTTGATGGCTGCATAATATTCCATTGTGTATATATACCACCTCTTCTTTATCCATTCATCTGTCGATGGGCATCTTGGCTCTTTCCGCAGTTTGGCTATTGTGGACATTGCTGCTATAAACATTGGGGTACGCGTACCCCTTCGGGTCCCTACATTTGTATCTTTGGGGTAAATACCCAGTAGTGCAATTGCTGGATCGAACGGTAGCTCTAATTTCAACTGTTTGAGGAACCTCCATACTGTTTTCCAGAGTGGTTGCACCAGCTTGCATTCCCACCAACAGTGTAGGAGGGTTCCCCTTTCTCCACATCCCCGCCAACATCTGTTGTTCCCTGACTTGTTAATTTTAGCCATTCTGACGGGTGTGAGGTGGTATCTCATTGAGGTTTTGATTTGGATTTCCCTGATGCCGAGCGATGTTGAGCACTTTTTCATGTGCCTGTTGGTCATTTGGATGTCTTCTTTGGAGAAATGTCTGTTCATGTCTTCTGCCCATTTCTTGATTGGATTATTTGTTCTTTGGGTGTTGAGTTTGATAAGTTCTTTATAGATTTTGGATACTAGCCCTTTATCTGATATGTCATTTGCAAATATTTTCTCCCATTCTGTCGATTGTCTTTTGGTTTTGTGGACTGTTTCTTTTGCTGTGCAAAAGCTTTTTATCTTGATGAAATCCCAATAGTTCATTTTTGCCCGGGCTTCCCGTGCCTTTGGCGAAGTTTCTAGGAAGAAGTTGCTGTGGCTAAGGTCGAAAAGGTTGCTACCTGTGTTCTCCTTTAGGATTTTGATGGACTCCTGTCTCACGTTTAGGTCTTTCAACCATTTGGAGTCTATTTTTGTGTGTGGTGTAAGGAAATGGTCCAGTTTCATTCTTCTGCATGTGGCTGTCCAATTTTCCCAACACCATTTGTCGAAGAGACTGTCTTTTTGCCATTGGACATTCTTTCCTGCTTTGTCAAAAATAAGTTGACCATAGAGTTGAAGGTCCATTTCTGGGCTCTCGATTCTGTTCCATTGATCTATGTGTCTGTTTTTGTGCCAGTACCAAACTGTCTTGATGATGACAGCTTTGTAATAGAGCTGGAAGTCCGGAATTGTGATGCCGCCAGCTTTGCTTTTCTTTTTCAGTATTCCTCTGGCTATTCTGGGTCTCTTCTGGTTCCATACAAATTTTAAGATTATTTGTTCCATTTCTTTGAAAAAAGTGGATGGTATTTTGATGGGAATTGCATTGAATGTGTAGATTGCTCTAGGTAGCATTGACATCTTCACAATGTTGATTCTCCCAATCCATGAGTGTGGAACGTTTTTCCATTTCTTTGTGTCTTCTTCAATTTCTTTCCTGAGTATTTTATAGTTTTCTGAGTACAGATCCTTTGCCTCTTTGGTTAGATTGATTCCTAGGTATCTAATGGTTTTGGGTGCAATTGTAAATGGGATAGACTCCTTGAATTGTCTCTCTTCTGTCTTGTTGTTGGTGTATAGGAATGCCACTGATTTCTGTGCGTTGATTATATATCCTGCTACTTTACTGAATTCCTGTATGAGTTCTAGCAGTTTTGGGGTGGAGTCTTTTGGGTTTTCCACATACAGTA